ATCACTCAACAGACTACAAATGACACTCGTCAAGCGCACCCCACGAGGGCTGGGGTTGGGGCTCAGTGGTGGGCACTTGCCTATCGTCTCCAGCACCCTACACAGACTGCCAAAGGCGCCACCTGGGGTGACCTTGATAAAGGGATCAGAGCCCCGTTCCCGTCACTCTGGGTTCCAATTGTGGCAGAAGGCACACAGCACCGAGGGCTCGTGTGCAGCCGACGGAGGAAGCCCCTCCACGTGGTCAGGCAGTGTCCCCAGGACATCTCCTCGTGCAGAGCCAACACTGTCCCATTAAGCACTCACTCCCATCCCTCCCCACAGCCTCCCTTCTACCTTGTCCCCAGGGGCCTGATGGCCTGCATGGACTAGCACGAGGTCTCTCCTGTCACCACCCTGTTCCACTTAGCGTGCTGCCCTCGGGGGCCACCTTTGTGTGACAGTCCCCTTCCCTCTGGGCTGCTTGTCGTGGCTGCTGTGCACACCCCACCTCCTTACCCATTGGTCCCCAAGGAGGGGCCTCCTGCCCTGGCCGTGGGAGCAGCTGTGCGCCTAGGGGCAGAAGGCGCCTGCGTCCGGGTCCTTCAGCTGCCTGACTCCCGCGGCCGGGCCGAGGCTCCCATCTCTGTTTTGTGGTGCCACCCTGGGGGTGTGGGGACAGGTCCTGTGGTGCAGGGTGCCACTCTCTCCACGTCCATGTCAGCCACCGCGCGTCCCCTTGGAGATGAGTCTGGGGACCGCCGGCCGCGGTGGAACAAGGCTGCTGCGTCGCGCTCTCCCCGGGTTCTAATGGCGGACCTTAGGCGGTGCGCGTGGGTCTCGCCTCTTTGGCTGGAACTCTTGGTTCTAGAAGCAGAGGTGTGGGCAGCCTTGACTTCCGGGGCAGAGAGTGGACGAGCTTCCTATGCGGTCAGCGGGCAGTGTCCTGGCTCGTGCGGGTGGTCCACCTCTTCCTCTTCTTGATATTCTTCAGTTGGGTTGGGTTGTACTTGTGCGGTGCTGGGACGTGGACCCGGGGCGCCTCCCACTGAGCTGCCTCCCGGGACTTTTTTTTTTTTTTTTTAATCTTGAGACAGGGTCCTGCTGAGCTGCCCAGGCTGGCCAGAGCCCACGATCCTCCTTCCTCACCTCAAGTTGCTGGGATCACCGGCGCGCCACGTGCCCTGCTTGACCTGTTGCATGGGGTCAGGCCTGTGCGGGACACAGCTGCTGCGGGTCGGCATGATGTAGCTGCAGGAGCTGCCTGTCTGGGGGACAGTGGGGTGGCCTGTCCTCACTGCCCGCCACAGTGTGAGCCAGATAGGATTTCACTGCTTCTCTGAGATTCTTGCTCCTGCACGGGATCCAGCCGGGAGTGCCTGTCCCCTCTGCTGGCCCTGTCCTGGTGCGTGATCCCTTCCTGACCGGGTTTCCTGCGTGAATCCCGATGGGCAGGGACACAGCACCTCGGTGCTCCTTTGAGGGCAACGAGGAGAGAGGTCCCTGCTGCTCTACTGGGCACTGTGCAGAAGAGGACCCAGCCCAGCAGAGGAGGGAGGAGTGGTCCCTTCCCAGGCCCTGCCTGGGCGTCCTGCATGCTGGGGGCCTGGGACCCCAGTGTGAAGCACCCGTGGCCGTGCCGGAGCCAGCTGCACTTGACACTCTGCACTGCAGAGAGTGGCCAAGGGTCTGCAGTGTGGGCCTCGGGCACAGCTGTCCCCTGGGAGTGGGCCGTGGGGCCAGGAGGACCTGCAGCTTTAGGGGTTCGCTCGGGAGCGCGCCCGTGGTTCATCAGGGATGTCAGCTGGTCTGTCTGTCTGTCTGTTTCTTAACAGGGGGATCTAAACGTGATCATCTTTAAGCCTTAAGGGATGGGTATCTGGGGAAGCCTAGGCCCCAGTTTCCAGTGAGCGCTGACACGGTGGGGCCAGAGGGCAGGACGGGGTGGCGGGCGTGGAGTCCCGGGCTGGGCTCAGCTCCGTCCCCAGTGGTCCTCCAGGCGTCCTGTCCCAGCGCACCACCTCCCGGTCTTTTGGGAGCTGCCCCTCGTTTCCGCAGTTGTGGGTGCTGGGGTCGAACCGGGGCCTGTTTGTGCCGGGCAGCACTGTGCCACTGGGCAAGGCCCCGGCCCTTGTCCGTCTTTCTGGACCCGTCTCTGACTGGCGCTGGGAGGGTCCAGCTCCAGGTCTCGCTGCCCCGCCAAGCCCAGTGGCCCTGGGGACCCACGGCCTCCCCCCCACCTACCTTCCCTTGTAGGGTGCACGGGCGGCTGTGGCCTGGGAGGCCCTGTGTCCTCCCCCCCCTCGGCCTGTGCCTGACACTGTGCGGCCATTTCCCTCACAGCTCAGTTTTGACCTCTTTGCTCACCTGCCTCTAGGAAGCACCCACCCCGACCCACCCCAGATGTGGACACACACGTGATGCCGGCCCTGCGTGGACACCCGTGCTGGCCCACCCCATGACTTCTCGTGCGGGGTGCTCTGCATCTTGGCTGCCGTGGGTCTGCTGGGTCCCGGGGTCGCCCCACACTCTGTTGGGCGGCTCTGCCCGCCCCAGGTCCTTTCCCACATCCCAGGCCTGGCCGTGCCGTGCCTGCCTCCCTCTGCAGGTGCCCACGGCCCTGGCACTCGTGACACCAGCTCCGTGGGAGTTTGTGCCCACGGTGGCAGTGGGCCAAGGCCTTCACTGTTTCCACTTTTGGGGGAGGATCTGTTGCCCATGGCAACCGCACATCACTGTGGCTGGTTCCCCATGGCTGAGAATTTCATGTCTGCCACACGGGTGGGGCGTGAGAAACCCACTGAAAGAGGCACAGAGGTGGCCACGTTCCGGGCTGCCGTCAGGTCTCCATGAAGGCAGTGGGCGGAGCGTGGTGTGCGCTGGTGTCCGCCGTGGACAGCATCTCTCCCGGCGCCTCCTCCACCTGCAGTGGGTTCAGGGCCCTGGCCGTGCGGCAGAAGCTCCACCGGACCTTGGCCTTGGCCTGTGTGCTCAGCTTTGCACTTGTCTGGCCACGCGGTTCTACCGAGTGTCACTCACGGCTGTGCTCAGGGCCCCTGGGCTGGGCTTCCTCAGGAGCAAGCTCGGTGGCTTCCTGGGTCCGTGCTGGAGGCTCCCGTTGAGCCTCCCCAAGTGTCTTCACCACCTGGTCACACGGGCTGTTAGTGCCACATGTGTCCATCAGGCACAGGACGGCATCTTAGGTCCCCCTGTCGTGGCTGAAGTGGCACCTAAGGCAGCCAGTGTCAGCCCTGCTCCTCTCTGTGGCCCTCGATGGGTCCCCTCTCCTCTCTGGGCCACAGTTCCCTCAGATGGCAGGTTGGGGACACAGGTAACTTCCCTGGCTTTCCCAAGGGTCAGACCCAATAATGTGTACTGGTGCTCAGGACAAGTACTCAGTACAAGTACCGGTCCCAGGCTGGTTTTGAGCAGGTTCTCAGACTCTGGTGGCTTGCCTCGGGGGGCTGACAAGACTCCTGGGTGAACACAGCCCTCCTCGAGGTTTGAAGCGGCCTTGGTGCTGCTGCTCCCAAGAAAGTGGGACTCGCTCCTGGCTGGCTGTCGGGTGGGCCGACTGGGTCTGAGTGGCTCCTGAGCAGGGGTCTGCACCCCATGAACTACCCGGCTCCCGCGTTTTCCTGCACAGCCCAGGCGCTGCCAAGGAGAGGACAGCAAGCTTGTCCAGCCTTTCCTGGTGTCCGCACCCGGGGCAGGGCGTGGGGTGAGGCCTGTGGAGCTTAGCACCCCAGCACTGGGCGTGGGGGTGCTTGCTCGTTGCTGCACAGGGAGCTGCTACTTGAACTCGCGGTTGTTTCGCAGCTTTGGGGAGGAGCAGCAGGGTTGATGGGCTCCTGTGTCCGGAGCAAGGACGGCCCCGACGGTGCTTGTCCCTCAGCGTGGGTGCTGATGTCACCTGTTGGCGTCCTGACTGACGGGTCCCGGGTGCAGCTGGTGTGAACTCCGACCCCACTGGGGGGTTGGGCGGAGTCCAGGCTGCAGCTGGCCCTGGAGCTGGGGTCACTGGGATGTTGGGGCTGGCCCCACCCGGCCCCGGAGCCCCGTGGGGAACAGTGAACAGGGAGCCCAGCTGGGCAAGGCCTGGCGCCAATGGTCTGCCCTCAGCTTCCCTGCCCACTCCGCCGTCACCGGTTTGCGCCGGCCTGGGGCCACCCAGGTGCATTCTGGGTGTGACCGAGGTTCCGGCCACCAACGCCCCTTTCTGGGCCTCTCAGGAACTTTGGAGAAGGTCAGAACTGACTGAGCCACGGAGAAGGCAGGGGTGGCCAGTCCGCCGTCCGCTCCCAGGGGAGGGCCCTGGTGAGAGGGTTGGGGCTGCTCACCTGCCCTGCGGGCCTGGGCCTCGCATCTTCTCCAGACTTGGGGACGCTCCGCTTTTTAAGAAAAAAAAATCTGGAAGACGTGGACACTCGTGTCGGGAATTCAACCTGCGGTGCGGCCTGCTGGGAACAGGGCAGCCCCCGAGTCCCCACGCAGACCGACCCACCTCCTGCCCGCAGGGCCGGCGTTGTGCCCTGGCCCCAGAGCTGGTGACCACACTGTGATAGATGTCCTGGGGACGAGGCCAGCTCATGGCCAGGAGGGGCCAAGACTCAGTTTTGGCACCAGCTCCCACTCCTGCCTGGGGGACTTCTGCTTTACCTCACTGAGGCCACTCCGGACATTGTGGCCAGGGCCACCCACTCAGTCTGACCCTGGGCCACCTCGGTGAAGCCTGCGGCCCGAGCTCAGCCGAGGGTAGAGCCCACAGGCAAGATGGCCCTGTGAAGGCTCCTTATGCCTACAGACTTGCTCTCGGCGGTGCTCGGACCTGGCCACGCCCGCCGTGCTCTAGGTGACCTGGGGGCTGCCTTAGTCTCCCACAAGGCCCTGTCGTGAGTTGCTGGGATTAAATTGGGTAATAAATGTGAGAATGCCGCGGACGTCCATCTTACTTTCCAAAAGCCTCCTTGATGACACGTACAGGTTTTCTGACCTGAGGCCCTGTTGTTCATTCTCTCCAGGTACATTGGCGGGGCCCGCAGGTGCCGGGCTGGACGGTCCTCAAAGCCCAGCACGCCCCTGGTAAAGAGCAGACATACAAAAACCAAGCAGGTTCGTCCACACAGGCGGATAATTAAAAGTTCCAACTCGTAATTCATGTTGGGGCAGCTGCTGAGGGGCCAAAGTAGCGGGCAGCACCAAGGAGTGACCAGAGGTGTGGCTCAGAACCAGACAGACGGGCCATGGCAGGAGAGGCAGCGAGGCAGCTGGGGCCTTAGCCAGGGGGGGGTGCAACATGTGCAAAGGCCCTGGGGGCTGGGCCTGCTGCTCAGAGCAGCTGAGGGGGAGGGCGGGAGGCAGGGCAGTGCAGGAGCTGCTGGCCTTTGGCTAGCTGAGCAGTTGGTGAGGCTCTAAGAGTCAGTTCAGTGAAACCTGGATGTGACCTATTTCCTGTTCCAGTTAAGCTGAACGTCATCTGTCCCTGTCGAGCTAAATGGGATCACTTGCAAGGAACAGAAAAACACGCTTTCAGCTCAGTGCCAGCGTGGTCAGGGTCCTGTGTGGGAGAGGTGACCGCAGGCTGTGCCCCTTGCAGCAGCGACCGGGGCCCCTGCTCTGAACAGCTCCTTTCCTTTTGGTCTTCCTGGTCCCCTTCCCATCCTCTGTCGCGGGCGGTGATTCCGGTTCCCGAGCCGAGACCACCCGGCCTGGGCTCGGCTCCCCGTCACGCCTTCCTGGGCTCGGCTCCCCGACGCGCCTTCCTCCCCAACGCGCCTTCCTGGGCTCGGCTCCCCGACGCGCCTTCCTGGGCTCGGCTCTGCTCTCCAGGTGCAGGTTTCCTTGCGGAGATTGTTTCAGCGTCTGCCACATGGGAGCTGGGTGCTGACTGCGCCTCCAGGGTTCCAGAGACCGTGACTCTGCCGCCCTGTGCTGACCCCGTCACCTGCCCGCAGGCTGCCACAGGCTGCCAGGTGGGCCTCTGCTGACTCCACTGCTGCCCTTTCCCTTGGCCACCTCCATGGCCTCGGGAGTCGGCTCCTGTGGACAGTGTGATGGTGGCCGTGATCCGGGGGTCACAGGCAGAGTGTATATTAGCGTCCTTCCGAGAGGTGAACAGAAGGCGGTAGCCGTGTGCCCAGCAGGAGCCTTTGTGGTCAGACCGTCTCCCAGCCCAGGGCCTCTGACCCGTGCAGCCCCCGTCGGCCCAGCCTGTGGGCTGTGCCCTGAGCAAACTTAGAAGGTGGGTCCAGGGCAACTGGAGTTCTCACCGTCAGCCTGGGGGCCTGGTGGCCGGGGTGGCTGCCCTCACAGAGCCGTCCTCCATCTCTTGGTGGCATGAGCGTTTCTGTGCCTCAAGGTCCCCCACCTTTGATGTAATCTGTCACTCATGCTGCCCTGGACAGGTGGGGTCTGCAAATCCCTCCTAGCGGGATGGGGACTCGGTGAGTGAGTTTGGTCTTGCTGGGAATTCCATGCAGCGGAGGACTGCGTCTTTACTCGCTGTGGAAATGGTCTGCAGCGTGCCCAGGTAAGTGCCTGGGTCCCTGCCTCTGGCTCCTTCTCGAGGCAGCTGAGGCTGGGCTTCAGGGAGACCCTCCGTCTCTGTGTCGGGCTCCAGCGCTGCTGTGGCCTCACGTGGAATCGACACAGCCAGGCAGGGCCAGGGCCGGGCCTCTGTGGGAAGGCCACGCGCGGGGCCTCCCAGGGCCTCGGGCCTCCTGCCCTTGCTTTCCCTGACCGTCCTCGGGGAGCACTCCTTGTATCCGTCCTCTCGCTGGGTGTCAAGACCACAGGCCCTTCCCGGGTCGGCCACTCGGCAGCACCTGGGCAGCATGGCGAGTCCTGGGGGCCCAGCTGCTCTTCTGGTAGAGGGAGGGGAAGGGGCTGCCTTGCTGGTGAGCAGGTCCCGCGCCTGGTGCCCTTCTGGCCTGGGCTCCTCTTCCCCTAGCAGTGGCCACTGTCTCCACCGTTTGCTCACTTGCTCTGGATATCATCTGTCCCTGGGCCCCGGCAGACCAGGAGCTCGGGCACGGGGCGGTGTGGATGCGAGCAGCACTCTGCGTGTGCTGCGTGCCCCAGGCCTGCTGCTAGGTGCCGAGCCCAGTCCCTGACACCGTGTCCCTGGGAGGCTTCTGAGGAGGGCGTGAGTGCTCGAGCTCTCCACCTGGCAGGAGGGCCACCTGCGCGCCTTGCTGTGACCCCAGCCCATCCTTCCTCTGGACGCGTCCCTCTGCTCTGCCCCAGGATTCAGGTTGTGTTCTTTCCAGTGGGCTCTTGCCTGGCCTTTCTGAGGCCTGCTGGCCCCCCTGCTCGTGTTGTCCGACTGTGGGGGACTCCTGCCTCGTGAGCGGCCCGAGCCAACAGTGCGCAGCTGGGGGAAGGGGGGGGAAGGCAGGTGTGCACAGTGTGACCCGGGACAGGGTGGGGGACATCCCGCCCAGATTTGCGTTTCTGAGATCAGCAGTGTGGCCTGAGCGGCCAGCACAAGGTTCCCGGTGGATCCTCTGCTGCTGGCAGTGGCCGTGGCCCGAGCACGGCTGGTCTCTGCAGTTGGATCCCATGGACACAATGCCTGGGTCTTTGCCGTCCCCCTTCCCAGAGTCCCGCTGGGCACTGGCCACTGGTGGAGCTGCCCTGGGGAAGCCCGACCAGCAGCAGGGGGAGCGTGGAGGCCGTGACGGAGCCGGTGTGCCGCGTGGGCCAGCGTAGCCCCCACACCGGATACCTGGACCGGGCCCCTGAAGTCCTGTTGCCAGTTCTAGGCCCCCAGAGCTGGGACAGCTTCACCCAGATGTGGTTCAGGGATTGTCACTGGTGCTGCCCGTGGGATGAGGTGTCTGGGAGGCGCACAGGGTTCCGAGCTGGGCAGGAGGGCTCGGCACAGTGGAGGGGGTCTGGGGGTCAGCAGGGTCGAGGGAGGCTCATCAGCCCATCCAGGTGTGGGGCCGGCCGAAGGGGGCTCCGAGGCCATCGGCCGAGCATCGAGACCAGGTTGCCGCCCTCGCTATGACCTCTGGCTGGACTAGATGCCAGCTCCACAGCTGGAGGGAGGCTGCAGTTGGTGCCCGTCCTCTCGCTGGGTGTCAAGACCACAGGCCAGGGACGGACGACAGTGGGCTCTGGATCAGTCACCTGAGCCTTGGGGCCTCTGTGCAGGTGCCATGGGGACTTTGTTGGTCGCGGACCAGGTGGCACCTCCTGCTCACAGGAACTGGCGTCCTGGAGGGCAGAGAAGGAGCCACAGAGCCTGGGCAGAGCTGGCTTGGAGCTGGCGGGGGGTGACCCGAGCCAGGACTGGACAGAAGAGAGGGAGGAGGAGGACCCGCAGGTGTGGAGAGCAGCTGTGACAGGGCCCTGGGTGGGACGAGCCCAGAGGCTGGTGGGGGAGGCCACTCCTACCCAGGAGAGGCCAGAGCTGTGGGGCAGGGCACGGCCTGGAGCTGGGCGGGACAGGAGGCAGCACTGGCCCACCGGCCGCGGCTGCCCAGCAGGCCGAGGGCAGGGGCCACAGAGGATCCAGGAGAAGCCGTTGGAGACAGAGCAGGAGTGATCGACAGGACCCGGGAGGGCTGCAGGTGGCGCCACGTGGGGGTCAGTGTGGCCACGGGAAGGTGTCGTCCTCCACAGGAGGCCAGCATTCGTACTCCCCGCATGGTGTCACGGGTCACTGGTTGGTGTCCAGGGATGACTGCAGCGCAGTGCTGGACCTGGGATTGCTGTCCAGTGCACATGTGACCTGGCACCACCAGTGAAGAGAACCTCCCGGCCGACCGACTCTGGCCTCCCTGCCCTCGGACTCTGGCACTGTCAGAGTCCTGCAGCCGTGGCGGAGGGTGTCCGTCACAGCATGCCCTGAGACCCCAGGAGTACTGCTGCCTGCCCAGAGCTGGTCCCTGCCTGGGTGGGCTGGCTACTCCACACGTGGGTCAGCCGTCCACCAGCCAGGCCCTCTGGGGGGCCGTGTCCCTCCTCCTGGTGCCGGTGGGGTAGTGGCCCTGCAGTGGGCAGTCCCCACCTCCGTGGTGTGCCAGGCTGACGGAAGGGTCTCTGTCCTTCCCTCCCTGTGATGGACAGCCGTGTGGTGACTCTGGGGAGGAGCCTGCCGTCCCACTTCACTTCCCTGCCAGGGCTTCTTGGGGTGGACTGGCGGTGGGGCTGGGAGCCCTGGGCACCAGTGGGGGGAGGCGCCTAGCTGTCTGGGTGGTGGTGCTGCCGGCGGGAGGGGCGGGAGGAGGCAGAGGACTGGGGCCGAGGGCAGGGCCTTGTGGGCAGCTTGCGGACTTGGTGGGATGGAGCGTGTACAGGTCTGAGGCCACCTAGCCATGCCCCCGGGCCAGGATTCCTGGGGCCTCTCTAGTTGGCGCAGACAAGACACCAAGGGTTGAGTGGGTGAGGGGCACACCCCAGCACCGCCTCCTGGGTGTCCACTGTGTCCAGGTCCGTGGGTTCCAGCTGTGGGGGAGGTTGGCTTCACTGCAGCCATGTGGGTGGCTGCAGTGACACCTCCAGCCTCTGTCCACGTGGTCAGCCTCTGTCCAGGCACATCCGCAAGACTCAAGTCGCGGCCTACTGGCCGTGGAAGAGGCAGGTCTCAAGTTTCCAGGGCTGTGAAGAGAGACTAGCCGATGTGCCCTCCATCTCTCCTGGACAGGTGGATATGGGTGAAGGTAGGCTTGGGCCAGGTGGACCTGAATAGATTCCTGGGCAGGTGGACGTGGGTCAGGTGAAATGGACCAGACTTGGATCAGGTGGTCATGATTCTTGTGGACATGGATTACCTTCCCTGGGCTGCTGTAACAAATTAGCACAACTTGGTGGCTTAAAAACAACGCAGGTTTATTTCCAGAGTTCTGAAGGTGGACCTGGGCTGAAGGCCAGGTGTGGGCTGGGCCATGTCCCTCTGGAGGCTGGTGGGGGTTCTTTCTTCCCTAGCAGTCTCCCTGGGGGGCAGTCCTTGACCTTAGGTGCCTGGGTTTTCTCATCTGTAAGTGGAGGTCTCTCCCTCCCCACAAGATGGTTCTGGTGGTCATGTGTGGTGATGAATTTAGAACATGCTAACGGCCCACTCCCCTGGAGGGCTGACTGCAGGGAGCCCGGGGTGGGGAGGGGCT